GTCTTTCCAGCGAACTGTGGAGTAAGATGACCTGCGTGTGTGAGCGCTGGGTTGGGGGAACTGAAAATAGGAGGCAGGGGCTGCAGGAAGCAGACCACCAGCAAGAGGACCCCTCTCTGTGAAGGAAAATAAAATGAAATGGTCATAATAACAGCTCCTGGTATTTGCATAGTGTGTGTGTGTGTGTGTGTGTGGGTACATATACAGGGTGTCCATAAAGTTCTTTTGCAATTTAAAGTAATTTTAAATTTTAAGTTGCACTTGAACTTTGTGGACACCTTGTATGTAAGCAGGCACATACAAATTCATATGTACATGTAATATCAGTTAAAGCGTAAGGCTTAATTATATGCTGTCTTTACATATGAAATGTTAAATGAAAAATTTTGGTAAGGATGGGGAGCAACTGGGACGCTCCTAATTTCTGGGGGAATGCACAATGGTACAGCTACTTTGGGAAACAGTGTAGCAGTTTCTTAAGTAAACATACATTTCCCTTTTGACCTGGCAGGAATACGCCTAGGTATTTACCTCTGAGAAGGGAAAGGACATACCCACACAAAGACTTGTTCTCGTATGCTTGTGGCAGCAATGTCGATGATAAAAAGTGGAAACAACAAAATCCTATCGAGGCTCAGCGCCTGTGGCTCAAGGTGCTGAGGTGCCAGCCACATACACCTAAGGTAGCGGGTTCGAATCCAGCCCAGGCCTGCCAAACAACAATGATGGCTGCAACCAAAAAAATAGCCGGGTGTTGTGGCGGGTGCCTGTGGTCTCAGCTACTTGGGAGGCAGAGGCAGGAGACTCGCTTGAGCCCAGGAATTGGAGGTTGCTGTGAGCTGTGATGCCACCGCACTCTACCCAGGGGGATAGCTTGAGGCTCTGTCTCAAAAAAAAAAAAATGCTTCTCGACTGATGAATTGTTAAAAGTGGTGCATCCTCACGATGAGACACACCCAGCAATGTAAAGGAACAGACTGCGACACACATTCTCATTTAATTCTGACAATACCACTATGAGGCAGGAACAATGGACAGATGGGAAGCTGAGTTGCTTCAGCTGGTGACGGTTTAGATTAAAACCAAGGGCTGCCAATACAAAGCCATGTGTATAGGTGTGTGTGTGTATACATGTTCTTCAGAAAAAATATATCAGTGTGTTCTAAATTTTCAGAATATATATATAAACTATTTCTTTTTTCTTTTTTTTTTTGAGACAGAGCCTAAAGCTATCCCCCTGGGTAGAGTGCCGTGGCATCACAGCTCACAGTAACCTCCAACTCCTGGGCTCAAGCAAGTCTCCTGCCTCAGCCTCCCAAGTGGCTGGGACTACAGGTGCCTGCCACAGCGCTCGGCTATTTTTTTGGTTGCAGCTGTCATTGTTGATTGGCGGGCCCGGGCTAGATTTGAATCTGCCACCTTAGGTGTATGTGGCTGGTGCCTTAGCCACTTGAGCCACAGGCACCGAGCCAAGACCATTTTTATGCCTACAACATTTTTGTTGTTGCAGTTTTTGGCTGGGGCTGGGTTTGAATCTGCCACCTCTGGCACATGGGGCTGGCACCCTACTCCTTGAGCCACAGGCGCTGCCCTAAACTATTTCTTTATTCCCAAAACAAAACATGCTTATTACAGAAAGATATAAGCAGAGAGATAGAGACAAACACAGTGATTTCTCTCACTAAGCCCAAATGAGAAGGTTATCACTGTTATATTTTAGTGTCTGCTCTAACTGGATTGATTCCAGAAGCATTCACTAAGCTGGTATACAGCAGGTGCCAGGGCATGGGACTGGTGAGGCAAAAGCAACATGATTTCTACTTAATGATTTTTACATCATTTTAGATATTTTCTTTACTTCTAGGTTTGAATATATATGTTTATCTTGTTCATTTGGAAACATTCTATGCAGACTGATTTGCAATCTATCTTTTAAGTTAGTAACCTAAAACATTTAACTTTAATTTTAGAATGTGATGTGAAAGATTATGGGGACCTGGCTTTCGATGACATCCCCAATGACAGTCCCTTTCAAATTGTGAAGAATCCACGGTCTGTGGGAAAAGCAACCGAGAAGCTGGCCAGCAAGGTGGCAGAAGTCAAGCAGAATGGAAGGGTCAGCCTGGTGCTGGGCGGAGACCACAGGTCCTGTCACGTGGCTGTCTCTGTGGGAGTCTGGCACAAGGGGCAGGAGGAAATATAATCCAGACCATGAGAAGAGAGAAACCACAGATAGCAGAGCGCTGACCAATACTTTATCCTAAATTTTCTGCCTTCTAAAAAACACTTTATGGGCCACTACTTAATTACAGACACATAGACTTTGCACTACTTTATTTGTATCTAGTGAAACAGACAACACATGAAATATCAATGAATTTCATCAAAATATTGAACATTGGCTTACATTTGTAATAAATGAGCACTCAGGAAATTCATAGCTTATTTTACTTAATTACTGATAATACATATGATTCATTTAGGTCAACAATTAGGAAGCATGAGTTTTCCATTATCAAAGTAATAACTGAATCATTAAATTGTGGATAGTGCACACACACACACACACACACACAGAGAGAAAAAAAACCTGCATAATTTTACGTCACTAACAACCATATCAACCAGAATTGACAACCTGGTACATTTCTTTCATGGCACCTTTCCTTGTAGGTGATGACTTTGTCTACCCACTGTGTGTGTGTGTGTGTGATGTCCTATGTTTTTCTCTTCATCTAGACTATGAGTTTCCCAAAGTTACTTCCTGGCACACACA